CCGAGAAAATGTTAGTAGACGGAATCGAACTCGTGACCAAATGCCTTCGCGCTAACCTACTCTATCAACTCGGCTACCGCATGAGGGGCAGCACTGTTAGATTATTTACATATATAATTGGTAGTTTTTCATTTGACAAAGGCAAAAAAAAAAAATAAAAAATAAAGGTGCTACCACACTTGCAAATCATCTAGCAATATTGGGAAAATCTTGGGTGGGACAGTCATACCAACCCAGTATGCCCACCCTATCCTAGAGTAACAAGTGTACAATTTTAAATTAATTTTGTCAATTATATATTTTTTAATTAAAAAGTACATTGTGACTATATCTTTTGACCTTTTTCACAGCCGATTTTTCTCTCTCTTTTTTTAAGTTTGTTAATTGTATATTTTTTAATTAAAAAAATACATTGGCTCCATCCTGCTTTTTTCTTTCCCGCTTTTATCTTTCTTTCTCCTTCAAAAGTGGACACATCTTCTAAAGAAGCATCCTCTCTCTCTCTTTTGAATCTTGTTGGAAGCACTTTCTGGGCATTCCAAAACCCAACAAAATCATAGATACTCTCTAATTTATTAATTTCATTTCCCTAAATCTTTTAAGTATTTATATTATATAAATGGGAAAGTGAAATCATCTTTTATTGTATTTTTGTTGTTGATATTAATACAGGTTGAATGTGTTTTTAATATGTTAGTATTTTAATTAGGTTTTCTATTCAATGGAGGATTTAAGTAGTAGAGAAAAAATGTATGAAGAACTCGGTGTGGGAATCGAAGTATGTTCAGATGACGAAGTTTAAAATATATGTAACTCATGTGCTCCAAGAAAAAAGGCGATAGTATTCGTAAAGGGCATATTCGAAAGAGACGCATAAAAAAAATTTGAACGGCAATAATTTTTATGTTCAAAGGAAGGGTTTCAAAGGGACAAAGAGTGCTATACATCATCTTAGTCGCTATCATGCAAATCCAGATTTCAAAAAGCAGTTCAATAAATGTTTCCATGGGTGTTATAGTGAAGAAGAATTTCAAGTTTCTCGGGATGATATGGTTAAAAAGTTTGAACTCAGGAGTCACTCATGGCTAAAGAAATTGAATTCACTGCGAGGAAAGTGGTGCCGTGCTCTTAGTTTGGGTAATTGGCGCAAAACGTCCCTACCTTTCAGCTTAATTGTGGAAAACGTCCCCACCTTTCATTTTTTGGCATTTTTGCCCTCAAATCAACCTTTCGTTGCGATGAACGTCCTTCCGGCCAAATTCCATCCATTTTTCCGTTAATTAGAGAGAGAGAACAAATTTCTTTCCACTCAACAGGGGTAAAATCGTCTAAGCTATTGAACTCCTTATTCCTGCCTTCTACGTAGTCCATATATATAATAGTAGCTGAAAAATGGGTGTGAAAATACTTTAAATTATTACATTAAATAAGGGAAAAAATGTATTTAATTAAAGAGCATATATAGTGGTGAAATCCAACCATCACTGCTACTTTTATGTTTGGTTTTAAGAAAAAATGCAGTAAGATATATATTGAATGGGTGGTCAATTTGTAGAGATGATTGCTAGATATTTATTTTTAGTTTATGCTTATTGTGACCACGGGGTAAATTGAGGAGATCGAGTGAAAATGGGTGTTGTGAAGTATGTATCGGTTCTATGTATCAGTTCAATGGTGAATAACCCATTTTGGCTTGTTGGTGAAGATGAACAGGTCCTGTTCACTTCTTTTGAGAGTCGAATGAACCTTGCGCTAATAATCCCTACGTAGTTATAATTTTGGCTTAAAACATCCCTACCTATAAAAAGTTTGGTGAGTAAAGTCCCTACCTTTTAGAAATATTTGCTAATAACGTCCCTACCTTTTAGAAATATTTGCGAATAAAGTCCCTAACTTTTAGAAAAAATTTAGCGAGAGAATTCCCTATTTTCTTCTATATACCACCTGTTGATACACACCAAATAATCGAAAACCGAAGCAAAATAGATGCAATTCATTTCAAATGTAATCCCAATTTTATTTTTCTTTGTCTACTCACTTATTTCTTGAAATATGCGACCACATATCACTCTGCAAGGCAGCTTTCACCAAGAAACCTTCCATTCTCACTCTCTTCTCTCTAAAATTCAGTCATTTTTCTATATGTACCTTGAATATAATAGCTTTCGTTACAGAGTTTTGAAGATTATGTTTTGAAGAGGTTCGTGAAAGTTTTTTTGAAATTAAAAGTGGTTTTATTTGGTTCTCGGAATAATTTAGAGTGTGGATTAGCTTGATTCTAATATTTAGTGTATTTTTGGTTGTTGATAAAGAACTGAAACAACAGAGAGATTTGAGGGGAGAATGGAGCAATAATTGTTGAAATGGAAGATAAATGAGAATTTTTGAAGAACCGGAAAAGAGTGGAATGAGAACCATTTAGGCTATGAAGTGTGAAGAAGGAAATTAAGAAAATGAGGGTTTTCAATTGGTGAGATAATTTTATCCCTGTTGAGTGGAAAGAAATTTGTTCTCTCTCTCTAATTAACGGCAAAATGGATGAAATTTGGACGGAAGGATGTTCATCGCAACGAAAGGTTGATTTGAGGGCAAAAATGCTAAAAAATGAAAGGTGAGGACGTTTTCCACAATTAAGTTGAAAGGTAGGGACATTTTGCGCCAATTACCCTTTTAGTTTGGATACTTTTTCAGCAAATATAAGGTCTACCCAAAGGAGTGAGAGCACAAATAATATCTTTCATCAAATTTTTACCAAGACAATAGACCTTGTTAATTTTGTACACCACTATGAGAAGAAAATAGAGGAAATGCACTTGGCTAAATTGTAGGATGATTATCGATGCAAAACATGGTGTTCCTTGTCTTTCCATAAGGTGTGGTATTTTAAGTTATGCAGTTAATGTATATACCCAAAAATGTTTAATCTTTTTGAAAAGGAGCTAACGGGTTGCATTAGATGAGTATGAAAGAAGTGTGTTGAGATTATGAGCTTTACACATATGAAGCAATTGAAGAAGGTCAACAAAGAGTGCACAAACTCCAATACAATTCCCTTACATTTGATTTTTTTTGTTCATGCAAGTTATTTCAATCGTTGGGGATTTTATGCCGACATGCTTTAAAGGTGTTCGATTTGAATAATCTTACTAGCATACCAACGCAGTTCATAATGAAAAGGTGGGCTAAAGGGGGCAAAGAAAGGAATTGCGGCAAGTAATGAGAAAAGTGACTTGTCAACAATGGCAAACAATGAAAAATCTTCCAATTCATTACGCCTTAGTGAGTTGATGCACGAAGAAAATAATGTCTATAATGTTACCTAAATGACAATTTCGGGAACAAAGATTGTCAAAGAAAAGTTAACGGAAGCAATGAAGTTACTTGAAAAGGATGAGGAACTATCAATGTGCCTCAAAAGTTCAGAAAAGAGGATGATCATTTTACTTGTGATGCTCTTGTGGATGAATCAAGAATATTAAATCCACCAATTGTGAAAGCCAAAGGAATAACAAATGCAAGATTAAAAAGCACTTTGGAGAAAAGAAAAAGGAAGGCAAAGAAAGATAATAAATAAGATTATTTTATTTTACTTTTTTACCTCAATTATTACCCTTATCCAATTCTTAAATAATATATCATTTTTTGTCAATTATGATTATTACCCTATAATCGGAGAAGACAATCATCAAACTAATGGTGATGCACCTTACCCAATATTTCCTCCTACGTTGACTGTCTTTACCCCGTTTATTCATCACTTAACTCCAGGGCATTCATATTTTCACCTTTCAAGCATGCTTCAAGGCCGCAACGATATGCATTACTTGACTAAGGTAATTTTAAGATTATTATTATTATTATTATTATTATTATTATTATTTTCAGTCAATGAATTATTTTTATGTAGGATCCAAGTTATTATAATTTTGATAATCCACAGAGAAATGATTAATGATTGCATAGTGAAAGTTTTGATATAACACTGGTATGAACTTCATTAAATAAAACCTATTTGATGAAGTTCTAAGTTTTGTGCCAATGAATTTGATTTGTAAATTTTATTTACATTTTTCAGGGGATTAAAGTATGATATTTTGTAGTTGATGTTATTGTAGAAGATAAAAAGAGGTTTATGGTGCAATTAGTTTGCTAAATTTCAACCTATAAATTGAGATACATTATGACGATTTTTAGACAATATTAAATATTGTCTTCTTTAATGAAAGTGTTTTTGCTTTGACATTATTGTTTATTAAAAGTGTTATTACTATTTTGTTATTTGTTAGGAACTCTTGCCATATACGTTCTAATGTGGCTTGAAATTATATTCAAGACAATTTTTTTGCTTCTTTAGTTTAAAAAGCGATTTCTAGCCCTTTTGAAAAGTAAAATAAAAAAGGAAAAATCTTTAAAAACAAACTATGCCCCTGTTTGAGCCTCATTACATTAAATTTCATTATATTTTTCTTTCATATTTTCAATCATACAATTTTTCATAAAATAATATTACACTTAAATAGAAAAATTTTCATTCTTTTTTAACAACTCTTTTTAAAAAAAATACCATTCCACATATTAATTTTTTCACGTAATGGGCGTTAAACTAGGGTTATAATGGAAAGAGACAATGGAAATATTAAAAGATACGCACAATGTACTTTTTAATTAAAAAATGTATAATTGGCAAAATTAATTTAAAATTCTACACGTGTTACTCTATGATAGGGTGGACGTACTACAAGGTATGTACTTTCTTAATTACGTATTTTTAAAAAAAAATATTATTTCAATAATTAAGAATCAGGGTGGTGGCTTATTTGTGACTCTAGAGTCAAGCCTGATACCGCGAAGAAGTAATCAATAGCCTGACAGACTTGAGGAACACGCAATCCGCGAAAAGGAAAAGCAAAAAAAAAAAAAAACGTAATTTTCATTCTCCAGTAATAAAACCCTAATTTTCAATAAAAATTTCCACATTTTGTAATAGAGAAAAAAGAAAATTAAAATCCGACTGGTAGGTGTTTGTGTGTGAGAGAGAGAGAGAGAGAGAGAGAACTGGCACTGAAACAATGGCAGGTACTTGGGTGGCACCGGCACCGGAACCGGAACCGGCGATGGAGCCACTGGCGGCACTGGCGGGAACGCAAACGAACGGCAGCGGTGGCGCAGAAGTACCGGCAAACCAGTTGGACCTTATTTCCCGTAGTATACTTTCTGTTGCCAGTCGTTTATATGTTAACATTCGCAACGGGCCGAACAACGACTCCGCCGCGTTCTTTAACCTCTGCATTTCCCTCGCCAGGTTTTCTCCTTAATAAACATATGTTTGGAATTTAATTATATTCTTCGGTTTATATTGAATACTAACAAGTTGCTTTACTGCATTTTTACTAGTCCATGCATTTTATTGATGGGTTTTGTCCAAATTTTTGCTCAACCTTACCCCCACCAAAAAGGCCAGAATTCCAAATTATTATTATTATTATTATTTTTTTTTCCCTGTGCTGCAGATGGGTTTAGCTAGACATATTTATATTTGACTAATGAATAAGTTAATTTTTTCTTGCTGTTGAACCAGGGGCGGACCCAGACAACTTGGCTTAGGGGGGCAAAAATAAAATTTATAGGGTATCTTCTAATAAAAAAAAAACTAAGGAAAAAAAAAAAAAGAAAAAAGCTAAGCAATATTTTTTTTCCCCCCAAAATCTAGGGGGTCAATTGCCCCTATAAAACCTCCCCTAGTTCCGCCCCTGTGTTGAACCATAACAATGTTATTGAAAGTAGCTCTACCATTACCTCAAAATAAGTATAAACATGCTCATTTTTAATATTGATTTAAATACTTTTTATTTTTATTTTTTTATATCTTAAGACTTACAATAGCCTCTTTTGAGCCCCTTTTCCTTATAATAGATTTTTGTAAAATGTGATTACTTTGGAAAATGTGTGGTTAAATAGTGATGAAAAGTTTGGATTTAGTTGCAAAATTATTTTATTGAGATAATGTGCAGTTGAAAATGAGTTTGGAGAAAGATGAATTTAAAGAATGGGCTCAAACATGGGATTAAATACTATGAGAAATGAAAGTTTTAAAGCTTAGCCATACATGCAAGCTGTAAACTAGAACTCCTCCATGTTAGTGTTTAATAACTTTAGAGACAAAATGCATAATACATTTTCAGTTTTTCTTTTTCGTTTTGTCACTTAAAAGAGCTTAGATTTCTCCTTGTACCTTTAAAACTGAAATAAATATTTTTTTAAGTTTATCTGTAGAAATTCTCAGGAACCACATATAAATAGCCATTTGTAATATATTAGGAGATATTTGAGGAACTTAAGCCTGATAGTGCCCTGTATTGGGTCTTCAAGATCCCGAGTACTTAATATTAAATTTTGTACCGCTTAGTTTTCTGTAACTTTAATTGTTAACTACATTTAGTTAGTGGAGCCTCATCTCATTTATGTCCAAGATTATCAAGGCTTGGCTAATTCTGCTCACTTCTTTTCATTCAACTGTATTAAGGTCCTTGTTAGTGAAGAAATATATTCTCCCAACCATTACAATGGATTAAAAATTCATTCTTATCGCCACTTATCCTGACTGGTATGTCTATTTTTTAACAATATCTCAAAAATCTTTATTAATTATTATTAGTTTATGAGTTGTGCCATTCATAAGGTGGTAACATTGACTGACATGAAACGTGCTTTCTTTTCTCTTCTTCTGCCTTTTTTAAACGCTTTCTGGCTTTAGATTGAATGTTGGCTAGGTTCTTACTACAGTTCACTTGACTAGCTCATGAGTTTGGACAAGTAATATCTAGGCTATGTTTGAGCCACATTTTTTCAAAAAAATACATTTTTAAACATTGATTTAACATCATTTCAATGACACATTTTTCAATAAAATAATATTATATGCATATTCAAAACTTTTCTTTAGTTTTTTAACCACACATTTCTTATTAATACACTATTAAAAAATACATTCTTAGGAATATAATGTGGCTCAAACAAGGGCCTAATGTATATGTTCAAATACTTTAATAATGTTGAGTATTTGAATTTCACGTCATAGCTTGATGATTTAGGATCGTTACTTGTCATGGAATACACTTTTCATCAGGACCGACCAAGGCCCGCCTTTGATGAGCCGAAGGCTTCATTATGTGAAGTAATAACGTGTAATAGTTGTCTGGAATGGGCAAAAATCCATCTAATTTTCACAAGTAATTTATCCAAGATTCTGTACAAGAGATAGCAGGGGCTAAAACTGCAAAAGAAGAGGAGTGCTTTTGATTCTCTAAATAACTCTCAAGGTTCTGAACTCTAAATCATTAGCACTAATCAAATAAAAAACTGAACAGTAATCAATTCGATTTGTGGTTGTCTATGGTAGTTCTTATCTCATTAATTCTTTTCCTTAGAGTTTTCTTGGCACACATTAACCCTTTGAGATCTTAAATTGACTTATTTTTTGACTTTTTTTTTCACCCATTCTTTGTTACTAGTCCAGCAGCAAATTTATAATTAGTTTTTCACTTTCTCAATAAGTCAATATGACACCTAATAGTTCTCTGACATTCTGTATCTATTTCAAATAATTTACCTTGTGCTACTATGACTCCTTTCATTTAATTTCTCTACTTCAGAAAACCAAAAATTCAAGTACAATTTTAAAATTTTCTCAGTTTCCAAAATCAAAACAGAGAAAAAGGTAAAACAACAAATCAAATATAGGTGTGAGTCGTGTGACTAGTCAGAGCGAGAGAGATTTGGAAAAATTTGAGTGGGTCCATGTTGACATCACCGTAGATGTTAGGGATGGAGAGGACGGCCACGGAGGAGCAATGGAGCATGGTTTTTACTTTTCTGGTGCTTTTTCTTGTTCTTTAACGAAAGGAATGAAACGCTGAAGACATTTTATTGTCAGATATTGTTCTCTCTGTCCATATATTCATATACAGTCATTCTGACTGAACAACATATATTCGGTTTTGCTGCCTGCCTAATATATGGAAAATGCAGAGGCATTGATTTTGCCATTGCAAACGAGGAGGTTCCTAGCAAAGCTGGAGTTTTACTTCCACTGTTAAAGAAGGTAAGACTCTCAATAAACTGACTTCTTGTTTCATTCATCTATAGCTTTGCATCTGTCTCAGACTACAGAAGGTAAAGAAACCACTAGTAAAATGATTAAATCTTAGCCATTGAATTGATTCTACTTTGATCCATCAGAACTCGTGATGCAATATAGTAGATAATGACTGTTTGCATAAAACTCACAAACGTATGAGATCGTTGTACAAGTACTTGAGATAATGAGTTTCGAGTTTATCGTTCCTAGACGAATAATGTTTAAAATGTAGTTCAATAGTTAGTATTAAATTTGAGTGAGTAGTGAAACAAAAGAGTGATTTTGTGATTGTTTATACTAGTTCTAATCTATAATAATAAAGCAAGTAAATTGTGGATTTATCAAATGTGAATGCTTGTATTGAATTCATGATTTCCCACATTTCCATCCATTTCAATTATCAATTAATAATCTAGTTAACTTCTTGCATTTTTGACCACCGATAATGCTAATATGTTAAATGCTCTTTTCCAAGATACACCAACCTATAATTAACACGATCCAATCTTATTCGTAGCCCGAATTCATATGAAAATCATGCATTTAGTATAGGTTGTCTACATGATTGGACATGCCGTAGATATTATTTCTAATACCTATATCCTTTGATTTTAGGGCAATAGGTTTTAACACTTTTACAACAAGCTTAATAACTCGAGTCATAAAGGTAATGAAGAGAGATTTTCATATAAAATATTTTTTTTGTGTCTTGATTAGTGCAATGCCCCTCATTAAACATCTGTCCAAGTAAATCTATCTTTAACTAACTTTCGCCCAATTTCATCCTATATCCTTTAACAATCCACACAAGATTTTTAATTTCATACATGGAATTTCCATTTATCTCAACATCTTCTTACAACAGTGATATCCCCAAATTATTTTAAATTTGGTCTAAGGATCTATGGTCCACTAATTCAACCTATCCAATTATGAAATCAACTCATTTCTGCACAATGCTTAACTTAATTCGTGTGGTCAATATATATCGAACTTTATGTGGAAAAGCAAATATTAACGTAAGCATGCAATCTATTCACCATTCATAGATCCTTTCACAATTAAATATATTTTTCATTGTCATCAGGCCAACAAACTCACGCAAGTACATAAAAAGAACCTTTTTTTGGAATTTTCAAAATTTTAATATATATATATATATATATTGTGTATTTTTCTAATATCTAGGGCAATAAAACACATACAAAAACACACAAAACAAAAGAATACTCATGTTTTCCACCCCCAAACTTAAATTAGACATTGTTCTCAAGGTCTTAAATCTTAAGTTCGTATATAAAGGAGTGGGAAAGAAAATGAAGAAAATATTCCCGTGATAAAATTCAATGGTTAGCTTGTTGATGGAGAGTTAGGATGGATTTTAGGATATTTAGTTTCCATTTCTAACGTTTATTTTAAGAAACATAATTGGTGATTCATTTAGAGTATTTTCTTACTTCAATTATAATTAGTTCAAACCCTATATATGATTGAATGAAATAAATTGATTTCTCTCCACAATTTCTATCTTCCTCTTCCCCCCCTCTTCTCTCTTTCCCCCTTCTCTCTCTTTTTCTTCCTCCTTCCCCCTTCTTCTATAGTTCTCATATTGTATCCGGCATCACTTGTCCTATTGCTCTCATTATCTCCTTGATCAACGTTAGTTTTAGTGTTCCGCAACATCATGTTCCTGTACAATGTGGTTAGATAAAACATTAAATATCTAATACATGGAAAAAGTGTTACTTACCTCAAACATCTAATATATCAACTAACATATAAGGCTGTCAATAGATTGGATTTGATCCGAATCCGATTAAATTAATGGGAGATGGATTTAGGGTCTCAATTCGATAATCCGATCAAGATTCGCATCCAATAATCCGTTACTAAATGAAGCAAATATGAATATAGGTCAATTCGATCCAATAACAATCTGATCCAATTTATTATAATAATATAATATATTTTATGTATTGTTAATAGTATAATATTGTTAATTGAAATATTTGAAGTGATTTAGCCCCTGTTTGGCCCCCATTACGGGGAAAATTTAATGTATAGAATAGTGTTTTTTGAAAAATGAGTGGTTGAAAAAGAAAGAAAAATTTTCGATTTACGTGTAATATTATTTTATGGAAGATTGTGTGGTTGAAAATAGGAGAGAGAAAAATAGAATATAATGTAATGTAATGTAATTTTTCTCAAACAAGGGCTTAATTTTTTTTATTAATTTAAATAAGATAAAAATAATAATTAATTTATTTTATAAATTAAACAACCAAAGGAGCTAATAGTTGGAGTTACTTTTATTATTCCCAACTTCTCACTTCCCTTATTGGATACTCACTTGAATATTATAAAATTTACAATCTATAAATAGGTGGGTCAAGAATTAGGTAAAAAGCTATTTGGGTCTTTTAATTCTAGGGCTTAGAGTTGAATATCAAATTTTATCTTCTAATTTTTTTCAACTTCGGGTCGGGTTATCAGATCGGATATCCATAACATAGCTAATCGGATATGGATTTAACAATCAAATATATGTTGGATTATCGAATCGAATAATTATTCTTAACGGATTAGATTGAATTTTGGCAGATTCGATCCATTTACTGCCCTACAAACATGTTGAGGACCAAAGAGGAAACTGGATCTGGATGATAGTTCCTAAAATTGAATAAAAACTACTCTAAATTATCTTAAGCTATTAAAATGTAGAATAAATAAAAGGGATAGAAGTATTGGGTTGTATCGACAAGCGCTTGTTTACATTTTTTTACTCAATTGGGTTGTATCGACAAGCGCTTGTTTAAATTTTTTTACTCAACTCTTGTTTTTAGGCTTTTCATGATGGCTTGAAAAGGAAATTTTTAGTCCCGCATTTCAGACACTAGTTGCACTTATTTGGTTCATCCTTGACTCTCCATATAATCAAGTTTTCATTGTTGTCCTTACCAACAATTTTACCTTCATTTGGCCTGCTTTTGTAGCTTGTTCAATGATCCACTCGTTGGCAATCCTTAAAGTAGGAAGGTTGCTTGGGTGGATTTTCCATGTTGAAGCTCTGCTACTCATCCTCCACCCTCAGGACTATCTCATTTATATCAAAAATCCAGCAAGGCTCGGCTTGTAGATATGAATAGCTTGCTCAGGATTATTGGCATCCAATATGCCTCTTTTATGTCTAGAATGACAAAGTTAGTTGGAAAAATAAACTCCGCCACTTTGATAAGCATGTCTTCGACTATTCCGTAACGGTGCTTTAATGATCTATCAACCAACTGCATGATTATGGAGTCTGCTTTTGGATCTTCCAACCTAGTTTCATGTAAAAAGGCAGAGGAATTAGATTAATACTTGCGCTTGAATCAATTAAAGCATTTATATTATGTAAATTTCCTATAGAGTAAGGTAAAGTGAAACTCCCTAGATCTTTCAGTTTGGGAGGGATCCTATGCTGTATTCTTTACATAAAGCTATTGTTTCGTGTTCGGGTAGCTGATTCTTCTTAGTCAACATCTCTTTCAAAAACTTGGAATAGTTTGGGATTTGAAGGATTGCTTCAATGGAAGGAATGTTGATGTGCGGCTTTTTGAGGACCTCCAAGAATTTGATGAATTGTCTCTCCAGCTTGGTGCTTTGTAGCCTTTAAGGAAACGGGACTAGAGATGAAAGAGTATTGATAGGAACTGTTGCCTTAACTAGTATGCTATCTGAGGGCTTTAATTGATCATTCAATATTTCTTGCCCTCGGATAGGTACGTGAATGCTCTCCATCTCTTTTTCTCTTTGTAATAATTTCTGGCAATTGAACATCTCTCATAGTAGTGATGACCTCAATCTGCTCCACAGTTGGCTGCCTTCCCAATCTTTAAGAGAATGGAATGGGTGGCACATAACCCTTGACAGGGGTGGCGGAAGTGAATGATCGGAGCTCAATAGTTGCATAATTCACCGTCTCAGTCTTGGTAATGTACTTAAGGGTAGATCCTTCAAGGATGCTCTTTTTTTTTTTACTATTGTTGAACCACTAGTGGATTATCCTTCATCCGATATCTCTGATTCGAATTATCCACCCATGAGAAGTTGGGATGCTTGTTTAGACCCAATGGTAGTTGTTGGGATAGGGTTCGTTTTGCTGCCTCTGATAGTTCTATGCATAGTTGACTTCTACAGGTTGACCATTGTGAGTGAAAGCTAAAAGGCAACAGACAATGATGTAATCTATCCCACAACTTGCGTAAATTGGAGCTCGTTGCTGTATGATATACAAACTGGGTTAGCTTGTCAAGCTTCTTTGTTATTACTTCCAATTGTGCTACTAACACTGTCACTGCATCTATGTTGTGCATCCCCGCTGCTTTCTTTAAAACTTTCCTATCGATTGGCCAATTGGCCTGATTCTCAGTAATCCTCTCATACAAATTGAATGCATTGTCCATCTCCAATGTCATAACTGAATCACCCGCTGAAACATCTGCCATGTTGCGAAATTCATGGTGTAGTCTATCGTAGAAGAGATACACATGTGCCTGCTAAGGAATGTCAAGATTTGGAAACTTCCTAAATGTGCTCTTGAAACTTTCCTATGCCTCCGAATGTCTCAAGATCCCTCTGTTTGAAATAATAGACTTCGTTTTTGATTTGGTGGGCTCGAGATGGCTGCAAGAATTTCATGGTAAATTTTGCACCATGTTATTCTATGATATAATATTCCCGGCAGGTAGTGAATACAACCATACTTTTGCGTCTTCCTTCAGTGTGTGAGAGAATAGGCGCATCCGAAAGGCATCTAATGACATTCCATCATGGCTGATAACTTTTGCGTCTTCCTTCAGTGTGTGAGAGAATAGGCGCATCCGAAAGGCATCTAATGAACAAAATCAAAAAAGTTTGTATGTGCTTATGAGGGTTTTCTGTAGTTTTCTCAAAGAACTTGATGTCATGAAGATTCTGGAAAA